TGCAAACCTGGCTGGGAGGGCTGCTGCAGTGGTGCTGCTTAAACCGTGCTGGAGGAGACGCTGGCCCCAAAATCTGCGTGCAGCTCTCAGCTCCAGCTGCTCCAGCCGATCCTGGGCTGGCTCCTCTTGCAGCTTGGTTTAAACTGAGCTGTAAGAGGAGCCAGCCCCAGCCAAGGCAGTGTGGAGCTCTTAGCTCCCATCGCCCCAGCTGATCCTTGGTGTAGCTGAATATCCCAGAATAAAAGCAGGAAAAAAATTGGCTTTTATTTGGGTTCAGCTATACAGGTAGCCAATCAGATTCCCTAAATCTGTATTCAGCTTAAGTAATTCTCAAAAAATACCAGTTGGGTATTTTTTCAGCTCTGTTTATGCTGAATGCACACCCCTAGGGAGAGGAAAGGAATGGAATTGTAAGCTGCTTTGAGTCTCCTTAAGGTAGAGGAAAACAGGTTATAAAAAACCTACTTTTCTTCTTCCCTTGTAAGAGACTAGGAAACTGTCAGCTAAAGGATCAGTTAGACTGTCCTCTGTTTCAGCAATGTCCTTCTGTTCTTTAGCTGCCTCTTCATAGTGGGAAGGTTATTCCTGGATGTCTTTCTAGCTTCACTTACTAACTTATTCCAGTTCCTTTTGCTGAATCCACCAAAGCACCGATGGTTGGTCATTGTCCCCTTTAACTACAAACAGTTGGGATATCTAGCCTTGGCAATTTAGGAGTCAGGAAATCTGGATAGGCAATTGTAAGAGTTGGCTCAAGGTGGCATCTGCTACCTCCCTTTGAAGAGGCTCCTGGACAGATTTCTCCAGCTCTCTTTTTCATAGCCAGCCAGCAGTTGGGAAGAGGAATAATTTCTGCAAATGAAGCAACAGAGTATAAGATCTGACTCAGTAGGCACTGACAAACACTCAATCCAGCATGACGTGGAATCCCTTTATCCTAAACCTCTGCTTTGAGATACTGTAGAGAAATCTCTCACTGAGTTTGACAGCAGAGACTGGAGACTTGTCTGTGGAAATCTGAAGGTCACACTTATAAGCCATGTCAGGAGACAGAAAAAAGGTCTTGCTTGCCAATTTGTTTGGTTGCTTTCCATGAAGAACATTGTGTGGAATTTAGTATGGATGGCTGATTATAATCAGGATTAAGGGTGAGAAGGTCTGAAGGGCTTGGAGGTACATATCTGTAGTGCATTGTGCTATTAGTATTATCCATTCTGCTACCAGTGTGTGGTAGACAGCCAAGGCAGACAGCTGTCAGTTTGGATAGTTCTGCAGTAGCAATTTGGCATGGGGGAAATGAGCTTCAAGGGCCTTTCCTTCCCTTTGTGTCTCTAGAAGGAACAGTACTGACTGTGTCTCCTTTTTGGTCCTGTTCCATAATTCATCCGGACTAGGTTTTGTGCCCTGTGGAGCAACAGTAATAAATGAAGTTTTAAAAAGTCTTAGAAAGAAAGAAGAAAACCACTCAGCTTTATAGCGTACAACTGACAGATGTAGGTCTTTAAATGCATTGTAAACAGTGGCAATTCACATGGCATGATTGCATAATTTGTGAGGAGAGTATGTTTGTGTTCACTTGCAGTTTTATGCTGTGTTTCCATGGTGCAGTAAATATTATTCTGCGGCCGCACAACTAGTTGCCTGAAATCCAGATTATTTTCATCAAAGTTGAAACTACCTTTGGGTGATTTTACTTTTTAACCAAGGATGTTAATTTGTAGAAGAGGAAAAGTTACCAAGATGTTTTCTCTGTTAAATCTCTTTTCTGAGTGGGGATTTATTGTTGAAAATTGTCATGTAGAAGGTAATATATGAAGCAGGAGAAGCTGGTTGCTCCTCTTTCACACACACACCCTTTTTGTACAGAAAGAGGCCAAAGACTGGAATTAAACAGGATTGCCACAGTTTGTGTTGTGATAAATTTACACCCTACAGGAGAAACTGTGTACCTGTTTCTGTGCTATGCAAGGGTCTTCATCTTAAAAGAAGGCAAATGAAACATTCCAGTACTTGCACTATTCATGACATTTGAAATATCACCGTTACTTGCAATAGAATAATCCATTTTGGTTCTTCAGATGTGGTCATTCTCAGTTTAAACCAATGGAAGATTCAGTATCCTATCGTAAGAGGTCAGTTGATCCATCTGCTTGAGCAAGATAAAAATGTGATCACTCATTTATGTTAAATATTTGTTACTGTAGAGGAGTTCTGTAGACCAGGCATAGTAACTGTTATCCAATTCTAATCCCCTTTGATAATTTCTTCTGTCATTATCTGTATGTTTCCCAATAATTAACAAATAGGATTGTTTCTTGGGATACAAGTATGCAACATGAAATAGTTGTTTCATTTTGTGTGCTCCACCATAGAGTCCAATCAAGGTGTTTTTCTGTCTCATGCTGTCTAAAATGTTCTGCTAGGAAACAGACCTTTGCAGTCATTACCTTACTGTGTATGTGGAATATGCGTATGTGGACATACACGCATATGCGCACACATACATAGGCAGACCTGTGTGGAGCTTTGGGAAATGGTCCCGCAGCAGAGATCAAGATCTTCTATTGATTCTGCTGACCAAACTTTTCATATAGCTATTGTTCAAGGCCTACAAGTTCCAGAGGTACTCTTACCTTATTTTAAGATCAACTGGAAAAGGCAACAATGAGGACTAGAATGCACATATGTTTAACCGAGTAGATACAGAACTTGTCCATCTAACTGCTCTCTTAGTGCTGACCCAGTTTGTGAAGTTTACTTATGTATTCATTTCATTTATAGGTAGATTTTAATTAAAAACAGAACAGTAAGAACAGTATAATAACATGCAACCAACAGAATAGAGAACATCGCACTAAAAACACAGTATAATATGGGCAATAAAGCAAGAATTACAAAGCATGGAGAACAATGGAGCGAAACGTTTTACTTACAATAAACTATGTCATAAAGATGAATTACAAAATTAGAAAACAGTACAATAAACGCGGTATAATCTGTACAATGAAGACTGCCTTAAATTCCACAGAGATGAATTAGAATAGAACCTTATTCATTTTATGAAACGCCCTCCTAAACTATTCTGTTTTACATATGCCTAGTTAAAAAAAGAATATGCCTCCCAGGTTCAAAACTTGCTCATGTAATATTCTTTTGCTCTTTTAATTTTTGCTTTAAAAAACTATCCCTGAGATTATGACATGGTAATATGCATGAATTTGGACTGAGACAAATTAGTGAGTGGGATGATTTAGGAAAGCTCCAAAATGTGAAAAATATGCATTCACAAAACCATTTTACATGCTGAGGGAAAATGAAAGGGAATATTGCTCCTCTGCATAAAAAGCACATACCCCTAACTAGGGTTAAGCCAGTTACCAGTGCCATGCCATGCAGATGAAAAATAGGTTGCCATGTTGGTCCACAGCACAGTCCAAAAACAAAATCTATGTTTAATACCTTTTATTGAGAACCAACCAAAATAGCACAGCATGCTGTACAAGCTTTCGAGTCCTCCAAACCTTGTCATCAGTAAATGGGCGTAGAAGGATCTAACTGTACTTAGGATGGCACTATTAGTGTGATGGCTAAGAGCAGCTTGAACCTGACCCCTTGAATTCTACTCCAGCGTGCACCAAGAAACACCTGCTGTTGTGAACCTACCAAATCAGAAACAATGGGTGATTTTCCATCAGAGTT